AGTTTGTTTACATTTATAGGAGATAATGCTGCCCTCTTCTTATTTACAATATCACCAGAAAGTGAGAACAGGTATTTCCATGGCACTTTTGTAGCTGGCATTGCAAGGTCTTTACGTGCTACATATGCTAAACGTTCGTATGCCCCTTCATGCTTTGGCCACCATTCTAGAGGACATGCTTCCACGCTGATGATACTGGTTAAAAAAATAATGTGTTAATTACATTTGTGACTGAACTCCTCGGGGGAGAATTGTATGACCCCTGCTTTGTTTTACCCACATTCTGCCATATATTTCATGTTATAGCAGTCTCGGATGATGACCCAACACATATTATTCATTTTAAGAACACTTTCACTGCAGATTTGACAAAACGCAAAGAAGGTACTGATGTGAGATTTCTAAAGATAGCTACAGCACTTGACCGAAGGTATAAGAATCTGAAGTGCCTTCCAAAATCTGAGAGGGATGAGGTTTGGAGCATGCTTTCAGAAATCTTAAAAGAGCAACACTCCGATGCGGAAACTACAGAACACGAACCACCAAAAAAGAAAATCAACTTTCGGCTGGTGGCATCTGACTCAGATAATGAAAATGAACATGCGTCAGTCCACTACTGATTGTTATCGAGCAGAACCCATCATCAGCACGGACGCATGTGGTTGAAGCATGAAGGGACATATGAATCATTAGCACATCTGGCACGTAAACATCTTGTGACGCCGGCTACAACAGTGCCACGAGAACTGCCTGTTCTCACTTTCAAGTGACGTAAACAAGAAGTGGGCAACACTATCTCCTGCAAATGTAAACAAACTTGGTTGAGCGATTGGCTGAACAAGATGTAGGACTGAGTGGACTTGCAGGCTCTAAAATTTTACATTGTTTTATTTTTTAATGTATTTTTTGTACATAATTCTATATTTGTAAGTTCAACTTTCATGATAAAGAGATTGCACTACAATACTAGTATTAGGTGAATTGAAAAATACTATTTTTTTTGTTTTTTTACAGTGCAAATACTTGTAATCAAAAATAATTATAAAGTGAGCGCTGTACACTTTGTATTCTGTGTTGTAATTGAAATCAATATATTTGAAAATGTAGAAAACATCCAAGAATATTTAAATAAATGGTATTCTATTATTGCTTAACAGCGCGATTAATCGTGATTTTTTTAATCACGTGATTAATTGTGATTAATTTTTTTAATTGCTTGACAGCCTTAGTATTTAGTGAATTAAGTAACTTTTTTCTGGTACAATACTATATAATCACTCGCTGGAGGTGTAAGGGGCTGATCCTGCATACAGTTATGTACATAGTTAATTTTAGGCATGCAAGTAATCCCATTTTCAGCCCTTCTAAAAATAAGATGTATTTGTATACAATATATATGCCTAAATATGACTTTTTTTGGCTTTGGATCATTTTTCGTAAGCAGGCAGTAACATGCACACAAGTTTTCTTGTGAAGTTTATGTTTTCAATTGCTTTGAGCATTTTAATTAAACTGAGAGGGTGTGGGGGGGGGGGGGGTGGGGTTGTGTAACTGAAGGAGAGAAAAGTGAATTGTACAAATGAAAAATCAAAAGGGCCGAAACCTGTGAGATGCTGAATGCCCCATGGGAATGAGGACACTCAGCACCAGGCCTGAAATATAAGAGAATTTCAAAATCTGTATGGCACAGGGCTCCTTCAAGTTGATTTCAACAGGAGTTGGCGGAACACAGCAAGGGGCAAAAATCAGTCCCAGTCTGTATTGTAATAAAAAAAATACAATTAAACAAATAGTGTTCAAAAAGTGCTTCAGCTGCTATATTTAGAAGCAACATAAGGCTGACATCTTAAAAATGAGTGCGATGCACAGTTGCCTTCACTTCCTTAGGATATGTGGTGAGGTTTTTTTCTTGGGTTACCACAGCAACAGTTAGAAAATAAAATGCCTTCTCTTCTTGTTTTGTTTTTACATAAAAGAACTTGGGAGACCACCATGTACTGGAACAAGAGAAGAGATTACAAAAGCCCCCTTATAACAAAAAGAACTGTGTTAAGTTCTTCCCTGAGTACAAAAGTTCACATCAATCCCTTTTCCTTGAAAACACATTGACTATTCCTAACAGCTAATAACGAATACAGAAGAGAGGTCTTGTCTGTCAGTGATATGGAATCTTTTTGTGGAGAGCCAAGGAGAAGTGGGTGGGCCTTTACCACACACTGCACTGTCTGCTGTGGTAGTAATGTGTGAAATTTTTATGTAGATTGCTGAGTTGCTTATTTGGTTTACTTTTATTTGTCAGACTTAGGCTCAATCCTGCTTTTTTACTGAGGTCAGTTTGTTGGCTGTTTAGTTTGACTGGGGCAGGATCCAGTTCAATCTTAAGGGACTTGGGTATCATTAGTCCAGATTTTTAAAAAATTCAATATGATCTATAATGAAAAGTAACTTGGGGAAATATGGTTCAGATGTGGTTTGCTCTTTTCTCTGACGTTCTATTGTGCTGTAGAATGGATTCAACACAGCTGTGCTGATAAAGAAACTGAGTCAATAGAGTGTGGGCAGTTTATGTGTGTGTCCCTGGGAAAAGGATTAAAATTCTTCTGTTGTGTGTCTTGAAGCATCAGAATGTTTTAGTGACTTATCAGCAATTCCTACCAACAAGTTGAAAATTGAGAGGGTTTTGCTTACTCAAGGCTTCATGTAGTTTACAATGTGTCAACCATCTTTTTCACCCTTTCTTAATTTAAAGTGTTTTAAAATTCAGCAATATCTGCAATAAAGGTAAACAACAATGCAATGTGCAGTACCTTTCATATGAAAAAGTTACACAACCATCCCCGCAACATTGATTCAGCTGCAATCCCCTCAGAGTAGAGGTATCCTCTTCCTATAGGTTTTCTGTTCCACAGCTCTGGTAACTCCTTGTATCTGCCCGCTGCTTGCATCCTCAGCTGTTGGTTTGTTGGCTGCAATCCTGGTCTGAGGAACCTTAGGAGTTTATCACATCAGCAAACCAGCTCTAATGTGCTACTGAGTACAGTAGCAGGTTAATGTGGGAACCTTAGGTCTTCCAAAGAACGTACCCCTCTCACTTCTGGCCACTGTAGGGTCCAGGGAAAGTGCCCACCCTTCCCTCACTGCAGTTCTGCTCTGTCAGAGCTGGTGAGCTGCAAGGGAGCAGAACGCCCTCGCCAAAGAGCAAAAATTCTTCATCAAGGTGCAGGTACCCCCAACCAAACACTTCGGTTTTGTGCCTTCATTTACTTTGGGTCTAGGAAGTACCACTTACTGTTCAGATTCACAGGTGTTTCAAACTAGAACAACATCCCCCCCCCCCTTATATTAGGCATCTCTCTAGTTCTGGCCGATAGCTCTCTTGACTGATAGACCTTACACCCATGCTATCCAGCCCCAGCATTGCTTTCTCCTCAATGAGGATCTGCTTAGGGTGGGGGTGAAGCAAACTGTACTGTATGTTTGCAAGAACGCGTGCAATGGTTTTGCAGGCTCAGTCGGGGGTGCTGCTGGCCCTTAGGGGCAAAAAGGGAAAGCCAGATTGGTGGAAAGCACGGTCACCAGCGAGCTTGCTAGGTTCCCCCCTGCTTTGCCTCTATAAGCCCGAACCACGTATGTGCTTCTAGTCTCGCTCTTTCCTCAATAGTACACCACGAGTCCAGCCTCCTGTCCTGCTTTAGCTAATATTGCGTGGGAAGTATCAGGAGGTAGCCGTGTTAGTCTGTATCTACAAAAACAACAAGGAGTCTGGTGGCACCTTAAAGACTAACAGATTTATTTGGGCATAAGCTTTCGTGAGTAAAAACCTCACTTCTCAGGAAAGCTTATGCCCAAATAAATCTGCTAGTCTTTAAGGTGCCACCAGACTCCTTGTTGTTATTGCGTGGGAAGGGGAGGCTCGATATGGCAGGCACTCATCTCCGAGCCAATCCCCCCCGGAGAGCCGCCGACACTCCTGCTGCGGAAGGCATCTCACCAGAGCAGCGGGTTCTGCCTTTAAAACCACGTGCAGGCTAGAAGCGGGCGCTGAGAGGCTGCGAATGCAGCAGCCAGAGGCTGGGGCGGGGGGGAGCTGTCTCTTCCCAGCCGCTGGGGTTGGAAGAAAAACTTCTAGGGTCAGTGGGAGGGAGAGAAATTTCTGGTCCGCTCAGTGGCTGTCTGTGAGATCACCCCGAGGCGCAGGACCCTGTCCCTGGGCTGGGACCCTGCTCGGCGTTGAGGATGGGGCGGGCGTTGGCTATGGGCTCTCAGCTGCTGCTGCGGGGAGGGAGCCTGGCAAGCGCAGCTCTGGAGGAGGCTCCGCTGGCCGGGGCTTTTCACTGACCCCTCCCCAGCGTGCCGGGATCGGCAGCGCCACCGAGCAGGAGGGAGCTGCCCCGGCCGGAGCGCGCAGAGCAGCCGCCCAGGCGGGGCGAGGGGGCAGCGCGCCCGATCGCGTTGCGATAACCTGGCCTAGTCCATTTGCGAGAGAAGGCAAAAGGGGGGCCCCGGCCTCTGCCTGCTACAGGGCCGCGCGAGAGACAAAACTTCTCCGCTGCCCCCGAGGAGCAGCCGCCGGGAGCCTCCTACCAGCCTCCCCAGCATCCCGCCCCCGCTGTCCATCCATCTCCCGCGGGATCCGGAGAGGGGAAGCCAAGGCCGGGGGAGCGGAGCGGAACTCGCGACCCTCCCCCGCGCGGAGTCCCGGGGCGCAGAGGAGTCGGCGGAGCGGGAGGGGTGTCTGCCTGGAGGCGCCTCCTCGCTCTGCTGCGTGGGGAAAGAGCGAAGGCGAAGCAAGAGCTGCGTGTGCAGGGAGTGCCCGGGATCGGACTGCAAAGGGCGCTGCCTCCTAGCCCGGGGGGCAGCTCGGGCCCCTTGGCCAAGCTGCGGCCCGGCGCCGCGCAAAGTGCAAGAAAGTCGGGAAAAGTTCCTGCCCGTCGAGGTCTCCCCGCCGTGCCGCTGCCCGCCGGGCGTGTGACACGCAGCACCGCCAGTGGGAGGAGGGCAGGGCTGGGACCTCCCTCCAGCGCAGGAGGAGACTCAACCCGTGCTTTTTGCGGGCTGGGTTGCATCGCACCCCCCTTGATTTGCAACTCTCCCCCCAGCCACCCTTCGGTTCCCCAGCAGCTGGAGGAGGCTGCTCCCCGTCGGGGTATGTGCGGGCAGCGGCGGGATGGCCTCGGCCGTGTTTGAGGGCACCTCTCTGGTGAACATGTACGTGAGGGGCTGCTGGGTGAACGGCATCCGGAGGCTCATCATCAATCGGCGCGGGGACGAGGAGGAGTTCTTCGAGATCCGCACCGAGTGGTCGGACAGGAACGTTCTCTACTTGCACCGGAGCTACTCGGACCTGGGCCGCCTCTTCAAGAGGCTGCTGGACTCTTTCCCGGAGGATCGCCCCGAGCTGTCACAGTCCCCCCTGCTCCAAGGTTTGGGCAGCTTCTGGCTTCCTTCCTATTGCCTAAGACCCTGCTCCTGGCTTGGGGTGTATGTAGGTACACCCTGGAGAGGGTGGGGAGAGGTAACTTAGTTGCTGGGGAGAGTCAGGCTCTGTTGTTGCCTGTGTGGGTTTGAGTCGCTTTCCTGGAGCGATTGAAAGGCTACAGAACGAGTGGGGGAGGAAAGGGTTAAAGGCCATATAACGGGCTGGATTCTCCACTGTGTAACTTTCAGCCGTGTACAGTGCCTGTGAAATACCACCTGGCTCAGTCAGACAGGTAACCCTTCATACAAGGCAGTGGAGAGAATTTGCGTCAGAGGTTTGGCCCAGATTGCTGGGAAATCGAACTCAGTCATCATGCTCCACATAGGCACAAGCCCCAAATTCGGATGCACCCTGTGGATGTGATTGCAGAGAGGGTTCTTAGAATACTGTCCCACCCCCTCTTGGTCCAAGTGATCCTAATTGACATAATCTATGTTTACTGCTCCATCCACACTGATTTAACAGCTCCCCACCCCTGCCCCAGACACTTTGAGGGATGCGGGGGCTTTTTGGGGGGGAGTGGTATGCGGGAAGCACTGATGTTGAAAATGGGAGTCTGTAGCTCTTCACAGTTGATAGAGCAGACGTACAGGGCTAATAATACGGGGAAAAGTCCAGACTTTGTGTATATTTTCCCATGATAACATGGAAGTTTGCTGCTGCTAGCTCTCTTTAACCATCCTATGCTGAGCCCCAGTGCAGGGTGATGGAGAGTTAAATTCTGAGGCTTGATTCTCTGCTCCTTTGTACCAGTGTAGTTCTACTGACTTCAATGGAGTTACTTCTGATTCTCTCACCTGTGTGAGAAAAGACATGGTCCTTGAGGTTGGAGGTAGCATCAGAGAGTTTTCCCCATGCTAAGGTGGTTAAAAAATCATTTTTTCTAGAGTAATTCAAAGTGAAATATGTCTTCCAGGCTCTGTCAGTCACTCAATCCTCCTGCTTTCTTTACTCCTGCCAGGTCTCCATCTATTTGTGTTGTCATTTTGTCCTGTTAAAAATATCTGGAATATATTCTTCTTCTCCCCTGCCTGTTTCCCCCTGATTCCTCCCCTGTGCTGTATTCTAGGTTTATGGGAAATCGCTTCTCTTTCAGTTTCTGAAAATGTAGAGTTGCTCATTTTAGTTCATCTTGTTTCCCCTCCTCATCCTTTCTCAGCTGACACTGAGAGAGGAAGGCATGCTTCCTGACAGTCTTGGCACTGAGTGCCCCCTGCAGTCAACTGGGGAACCTTGCTGTGTAAAAGCTGAAAACCCTTGAGCTGGCTGCCAAGTCTAAGGCCTAATGATTTGGGCACTCAATTTAACATACTTTGGGCCCGATTTTCAGTGGTGCTGAGCACCTATAGGCCCTATTGACTTGAGTTGGAGCTGTGAGTACTCAACACCTCTAAAAACCAGGCCCTAGTTGTATCAAGTGAGGCCCTTCAAATCAGTGACCACTCTTGCAAAATATTAGGCCTTAATTACATGTTTCAGAGGCCCCATTTGTGCTTTTTCACTCACACTGGAATGCTGATGCCCCTACTTGATCGTCCCACGTAGCATGAACTATAACTTTTGAATAGTCAGGGAAGAGTAAACCTCCTTAGCACATTAGGAGATTTAATTTCTGTGCAAGGCCTGGGTCCTGCAGCCCTCACTTCTGTGAGTAATCTTTCCCAGATAAATTGTCATCCTGATTTCAGTAGGCTTCCACAGTGAATGACGTGCATGAGGAGGGGGTGGAAGAATTAAGCCCTAATACTACAGTCATTGGGAGCTTCTATCTCCCTACATTATTTTTAATGCTGACAATTCTATGACTTGGGGGGTTAAGATATTTTAAATCTCAAGAACTGTACTTTCTTTGGCAAATGATGGAAACTATTTACAGTGAAACGTGAATGTGATGGAATCAAAGTCCTGAATTGTTTCTGAGTATTTGCAGTATGTAGCTGATAATTCCAGTTACAGTGAACCCACTTCTTAAAATGAAATTCTGTGAAAAATGACTTTGCGGTAATGAGGTATCACTGCATTTCTCTGTACAGTCTGTATTTCATATTTATTCACCAGAACTTGTGCATGTCTGGCCACACATACAGTCAAATCTTCTTTAAATTATGCTTTGGATATAATCAGGGGATTTTATAATGTGTTTGGTACACATAGAGGGTATGACCCCATTTTAGATACACTTTTTGGATCTCAGGTTTCTGCATGTAGCATTTTAAAGAAGAATCACTTTTTCCATAAATTTCAATATACTTAACCCAGTAGAAAGTCACACCGTTTCTAGGCATTAGCACTGAGTCAGATACATTGTTGATCCTAGCTTTTCTAAAAGTGCCAGGCAGAGTATTATTTGCATCTTTAATCTTTATGGAAGCAGTGAAAGCATTGTTAGTCAAATTTGCATTGCATAGCAGGAATTGGAAGTACTTCTGGTTACCGTAGATACATTTAAGTAGCATCAGAAGAATTAGATTATCCTATCATTTATATACACTTTGTCAAACTACGTTATATAAAAGTTAAGGGATATTTTCAAGTAGCAAACACCTAAAATTTGAGCTAAAATAGTTTGATCTTAAAAATGGTTATTAATTTGTAGGCTTAAAAAAATGTCCACTTTTCAGTTGCAGAAATTTTAGAAAGAGATGGTAGACTATAAATACTTTTGTGGGACTATAAATACTTGTGGGTTCAAAACAAAGCTAACATTCTGTGCTGGTATGTTCCTTTTTGCGCAGTAACAGCAAATTTTAGTGACACCCTCCCTCCCCCCCCCCAAATCCACTATTTCCAGAACTGTACAGCATTAATGATGCTTATGCAAAAATAAGGTAATGGGAAAAAAACAGACCCATATTGGCCACTGTTGCACTAGGAATACTAAAAAAAGAGGTGGGGAGAATAATGGAGAAATACATATTTTAAATCTTTAAGAGGGAATTGCAAGCTAATTGTGGCTTGTTTTGAGATTGGAGTTCTGCAGCTCAGGGCTTGTCCACACTTACAGATCTGCAGCAGCACAGGTGGAGCTGCCCTGCTGTAGCGCTTAGTGAAGTCGCTGCCTATGCTGATGGGAGAGCTTCTCCCGTTGGCATAGGCACTCCACTTCCTCAAGAGGTGGTAGCTATATTGACAGGAAAATCCACACCCCTGAGCAACTTAGTTATACTGACACAAATTTGAAGTGTAGCCCAAGGCTCAGTGTTTTGCCTTCTGAAGTTTGTTACATGTAAATCTATTTCAGTCTGAAGAAATATCATTGACCCTTGCAAAGGGCATCTGTGCAAATGAACTGACCTGGTATAAATGCATGCTTCTATACTGCAACAAGGATTCCCTAGAAAGTCTTGATCATGTGCTTGGTACCACGGTACATGCTGTTGGGAGATCACCTCTCATTGGGGGGTCAGGCTATAATATTACACCAAGCCTGCTTTTCATTATGAACTTTGCAGCATTTGGACCTGCAAACCTCCCTATTTCATGTGAGCAGACATTCATTATGCAGATAGTTCCATTGAAGTCAGTTGGTTTCTTTATAAGAGTAAGAACTATTTGCATAAGTATTTTAAGGCTTGAGCCCTGTGCTAATACCCATACTGAAGGAATTAAGTCACTGCATTAAACTAAGGCCTGGTCTACACTAACCCCCCCACTTCGGACTAAGGTACGCAAATTCAGCTACGTTAATAACGTAGCTGAATTCGAAGTACCTTAGTCCGAAGTTACCGCGGTCCAGACGCGGCAGGAAGGCTCCCCCGTCGATGCTGCGTACTCTGCTCGCCGAGCTGGAGTACCAGCGTCGACGGCGAGCACTTCCGGGATCGATCTGGGGCACTTCCGGGATCGATCCGGGATCGATTTATCGCATCTTAACCAGACGCGATAAATCGAACTCAGAAAATCGATTGCTTACATCCGGACCCGGATGTAAGTGAAGACGTACCCAACGGGTATGTCTACACCCAGCCGCTAGTTCGGCGGCTGGCAATCGAAGTTCTGGGTTCGACTTATCGCGTCTTGTCTGGACGCGATAAGTCGAACCAGGAAGTGCTCGCCGTCGACTGCGGTACTCCAGCTAGACGAGAGGAGTACCGCGGAGTCGACGGGGGAGCCTGCCTGCCGCGTGTGGACCGAGGTAAGTTCGAACTAAGGTACTTCGAACTTCAGCTACGTTATTCACGTAGCTGAAGTTGCGTACCTTAGTTCGATTTGGGGGTTTAGTGTAGACCAAGCCTAAGATCACTATAAGTTTCTATAAACTTAGAGTCCTCTTGCAGGATCCTGAGCCCTTCCTAGTGGTGCTTAAGGCCCTGAGCTGCTGTATTCATATACCTTAACTTTTCCAGTGACTTTGTGCCCTAATGGGGGTGGGTACCAGCACACCCAGCAAAAATTCTGACTGAAAAAGCAAATAGAGAGTAGTATTAATTTGTATTCGTTTAGACCAGAGTTTCCATGAAAACATAAATGTTCCTGCCACTTTAATGTGAACGGAGGGTTATCAGAATCTTGCAAAGATCAGACTTTATGAGCCATGTTGTACCCTTAGGTGGTGTGATACCTGCATAGGAAGCAGGGAATTTAATCAGGTTCCTCTCATGCAGTTTCGTCTGTATTCTTCTGTTGTGTGGAAGACAGGGGGATGGTTCTCCTCCATCAACAGAAGTAAGGCAGGGTCTGGTCCATAAGGCTCACAAGATCCACCAAGGGCACAAGACCATCTACATCAGGGGTTCTCAAACTGGGTGTCAGGACCCCTCAGGGGGTCGCGAGGTTATTACATTGGGCGGTCACGAGCTGTCAGCCTCTACCCCAAACCCTGCTTTGCCTCCAGCATTTATAATGGTGTTAAATATATTAAAAAGTGTTTTTAATTGATAAGGGGGGGGGGGTCACACTCAGAGGCTTGCTATGTGAAAGGGGTCACCAGTACAAAAGTTTGAG